CCCCCCCCCACCCCACACCTCTATGGCTCTATCCTTGTACATATTCATCAATTCACTACCAACCTTCAAATACATATTCAATTCACTACCTCACAGGTCAGTCAGTCTCAATACCAAGAAAAAATACCTACCAAGGCCCACGCTCATTTATTTATTTTATTTTTATTTATTCCATTAAATACATTATTTACCCATTCTCCCGAGATCCATGTTCCATCATAGTGGCCTCTCTTCCTCTTCTCTGGGCGACTGGTTCCATCTTATGTTATTCGTACGAAAGTGGATTCCATATTAACTAATAAGATTTATCGAATACGTCTGATTCAAATGGGATAAAAATAAGGCTTACAGACGGTGGGGCCATCACAAACTGTTCAGACCTTAATTCTGGCTGAGATGCCCGACTGCCAAATCATCATCCAATCAATATAAGTCACTTCCACGTGTCGGGATATTAATAATTCAGAACAAATTACCCCTCCTCACCTAGTTTATTGTTTGAATACAAGGAACATCGTGGGGTGTGAAATGAAATGAAAGGACTAATTAAGGAAGGGGCAAATTAAGTAATAACTCCTCCAAGTTGGAAGGGATATCTTGTTCAATTCCATACTCCACAGTGCACACTCTCTCTGCCGTACAATACAATACAAGCATACAGACAAAATACAAGTCCCAATACATACATTACTTATATATGTTTTGATAAATAACAAATGCCATTCCCATTTCCGGCACCAAACCCAAACACGCAATATCAAGCCATCCATCGATCCTATAACCAAGTATGGTTAACTATATATAAAAATAGATTCCTTGTCTAAGTGTCTGCTGGATCATATCGTTAGATATGGCAGTGGGGCTTTAGACACCTGGACTCTATAAACTTATAATCTATAACCCCCTCCATCCAATTACATCCTCTAAAGTTAAAAATTATATAAATTAAAAGAGGCCAAAGAAAGTTAAATGGTGTGCTTCTGCCTTGTGCTTGCTTCTCTCTTGCTCTTGACGTCTTGTACATCAGAGCTGGCCAAAGGAGTGAGCTAGATATGCAAGTGCACCCACCAAGGGAGCGTTGATGTAAGTGGCAGGCTCCGATTGCTCGTAGTCGGTTCTCTGGTCCGGGAACTGATCGTGTTGGTCAGGCCCACCGACGACTGCTCCGACCAGGATGTTGGGATTTGGGGCCGGCGATTTCAGTGCACTGAACCCAGAGGAACATTGGATCTTGGCTGGATGAACGGCGATGGACGGCAGTGATGACCCCCTGTGGTGTATCCTCTGTGGGTACCTTGCTCCGTACCCCACCATGTAGGACATCTTCAATGGGTTGTCTCCCAGCAGGTAGTCCACCTGGTTGGTGTACCCATGCCATTAATTTTATATTCCTTTCTCTCTGAAACAAAATAAACAGAGAAACCAAATATCGTCCCATTAATTGTGTTGTGTTCAACTCTACGGTACCCATACCTGTTTCTTGGCGATGGTCCGGAGCCTCTTTGGGGTGACCGTCATTCCACCGCAGCTGACCACCTTGTGAGCAGTGGTCAAGTACTTTGCGTAAGTTAACAGAAGAAATGAAGTGGAGGTCACATACTGCATATTGCTGTCACTCATCCTAAACAGCAGTCCTCCTGCTCAAAACAACTAGCTAGACGTTACTAAGACCAGCAGAGACGGACAGAGAGACAGAGAAACAGAGAAAGAAAAAGGAAGGGAGAGAGGGAGCACCTGGGGTGTATTGGGATTGAGAGAATGGGTTCCCAGGAATGAGAGAACATATGTAGTTATCTGCATGGCCTTTGTAATCATGGAGGGCTTGCACCTTTTGGACAAGAAATGCCTGAAAATCCAACCACGTTAAGATTAAGAAGAAGGATAGCAAATTGATGACTATATAATAAACAAAATATGCATATATAGCAGATATCAACCTTGGATAAAAGAATACGTGCTCCAACATGCTTGTTATCCCATCCAAATATGTTGTCTGATTCATCTGCTCCAAGGGTCTGCCCATTGACTTGAATGTAGTTCAAATAAGCCCGGTTTCTGGTGGCTCTGTGTAACCAGGCAGCTCCCCACAACAGTTCATCCTTCGTTCAAGCAAACAACATAATAGAAGAGAGAAGGTTTTATTACAACCCATTGGAAACAAGTTCCATGGATCAAAAAGTTTAAAGAAAAGGAACCAACCTGATAACCTGAATAAGAGCAGTAGAAAGGGCAGACATATGGTTTCAGACCATTGCTGTAGGAGCCTCTGTACTTGTCAGCAAAAGCAAACACCTGCAACGTATTCCATAATCACAAGAGAAGAGATACTTGAGTTTACTAATCTTTGCTACAACTAACAAATAAGGAGCTTATTTTGTTGAAGCCTTTCTTTTTTTCATTTTTACCCTGATAGCTCTTGTAAGGAGAAGCCTGGAGTAAGAGGGGTCAGATCTTCTAAAGACCAAAGAAGCAGATGCAAGAGCAGCAGCAGTTTCTGCAGCTACATCCGAACCAGGGTTGCTTTTGTCAATCTTGAAAACACTTCTTGGAGTGTCCATGTCTTCGGGTCTCTCCCAACAAGCATGATCCTTGTTAGCATCACCAACCTACATTACATAAAAACACCTTCAGATCCTCTGCTATACCTCTTATACCAATCAAATAGAAGAGATATTTCTAAAGATAGACTAACTCCCTCCATAAAACCTCGAAACCAGAGTTTCTACCAACAAGGAAAGAAACAGAGAACAGAGGACGGGAATAAACACAAACTGAAACAAAAACCTGAACGTAAATGGTGTCGGGGTGAGAGGTAGCTTTGAGAAGGTAATCAGTAGCCCAACGAATGGCGATCCTTGCGTTCTGTAACTCGCCCTTCATCAGTCCACCAAACTCGAGAACACTCCATGAAAGCATGGTGGTCGTGAAAGCCATGGGAAACCCGAACTTCACATTATCCCCAGCATCATAATATCCTCCCACCAAATCAACCTGCATTTTTTGGTACCCAGTTGAAACTTTCCAGAAAAAAGAGAAAAAAGAAAAGACAAAGAAGAAAAGCTTACATGCATGGCCGAGCCATCGGAGAGACCAGAGTTTCTTCTCCATGTTATCCTCTGGTTAGAAGGGAGCTTCCCAGATCTTTGTCCTTCAAAGAAGAGGATTGATTTGGTGAGAGCATCTCTGTAGTTGTGACGAGCAAAGTGACGATGGTTAGGGTGGTGGTATTGTTGGGATGGAAAGGCATTGCAGGGGAACAGGGAGGTAAAGAAACAGAGGAGGATCAGAGTAAAGTAAGAGGGGAAGGGAACAGAAAAAGCCATTTTAAGCTGCCTAACCAACTCAACTGCCCCAACCAACCTGCAAGTCCCTCTGAGACATTGCTCTCTTATTTATAAGCAAAACTGCCTCTGCATTTCTGAACTTTCGTTATTTTGCTTTTGTTCTTTTTCTGTTCTGTTTTTTTTTTTTTTTCTTCTTCTTATCCTTCTTTTGGGTGTTCCACTGCTCCCTTATAATTAATGCCAACTCTTCTCTATTAATAATAATTGATTTTGACTGTCTTCCTTTCTGGTGCTCGATAGTTAACTCCGTTACTTCACCACGTGAAGCGAAAACTGAAATCTAATCAAATTAGTAGTTTAATACATGATATTGTCTTTGATTAACTACGATTTATACATGTAATCCTGAAAGATTAGAAAAAATAAAAATAAAAAAAAACAGGATTATTTTGTGATTTTAACCCATATAATAATAATAGATAACAACAGCAATCCCACTGAAATTAGATTGCTGCTCTACTTTTTGCTCTGCCCACTCCCTTGTAAATTTTGCTTAACGCCTTGGCCGATGACGCCTCCTCTGTTCCTGTTTCCCCCTCCCCAAACAGCATAAAAACCCAAAATCTCTCTTTATCACTGTAGATATACAGAGAATCCCGTCCCCCTGGACATCTATCTTCTACAGGAGATGGGAGCATATGATTCAGCCTAGTAAAATCTGTTTTCTATTGGTGATTCAGCTGTTTAACCCATTAATTAACTTATAGAAGTTATAAATCTAATGCGTCCATGACATCAATCCAACCTACTAACATAGTAGTTCTTCTCAGCGTAGAATTTATGGATTACCCCAAAGGAAAAGCTGATTTCTTTAGAGATGACAATGAATGCTAACTAGGAATAGGGACGATGACAGTTATTCCAGTGATAAAAGATGGCATGAAGCTGGATTTTGTAATGTGAAGATGAAGCTGCTGATGTATTTTTAATCCACATTTATCGTTTTAACACCTTGCGATTCATCTGAACTACAATTTTTGTAATTGTAACTTACTAATTCCTTAAGATTGCTTTTGTCTTTTGAGTGTTCACTATACCCATTTACTACTCATTTTCCTAGCTGCTCCTCCATCTCCTCCTCCTCTAAACTCCAAACTGAAAGGATCACAAGACAAACAGGAACAAATGGTATCATCATGAGTTTTGACTGTAGAAGAATCTGTTATTCGGCCAAAAAGATGACTACAAAGATCTAAAGTTGTAAGAAGTATTGGCTTGTGAAAGATTTGAACCAAGGAGAAGCCAAGGGAGGGGCCTTCTCCCTTTGACAAGGATATTTCAGTCTGGCATGCATATATTTGTAAAAAGAGAAGAAAATAAGGGGGGAGGGCGAAGCAAAAAGAAGGAAAAGAAAAATCCTTGGTGGTTACTTGAAGCGATAAATCTCTTTAGGGATTTGGTGTGAAGGTGAAAAGTGATGGGGTAGCAGCAAATCCGGACTCATCAGACTGGAAGGAGAGTATAACATTCATCAATGGGGAAACTGATCACTTGGGTGAACATTGAAGATTGAACAGCCTATTTGATACGGACTACGGTGTGAAACTGGTCTTACCCAACACGCAACGATCCCTAACTGTCGGCTGCTGTCTTTCATGAATCATTCTAGCTAGATTGAGATGCAATGAAATAACCCTCTCACAGTTGAGTCTTCTGCACTTGCGCATGGTTTTAACTTTGAAGGTTTCTGGTTCTAGGTTGCTTTTACATAATTTTCTACCTCAAAATTTGGGTCATAAGTCATAAATGGTCAGGGACCATTCTCCTGCTGCATAAACGAGTCCGAATCTGATTAGAATGCTACGAAGAACAACCCTGAAATTGTGTTACAGTCTTGTTTCCTGCGGATCGTTTACGTATAAACGCCATGAGTGATTATAGGAACACCATTCTTGACTTTTCTAATAATGGGGCGTTATCTGATTGAGGTCCATTGAAAAAGTCAAAAAGTAAAACACTTTTCTGAATTGTCACATCTAAACTCTACCAAAAATTCTTAATGTCAAAATAAAAATTTTTGAGCAAGCATTGTCTGAAGTCTCTCACTATAATTTTTTGGCATAAATACTGCATAATTGACTGGAGATCCAAAAGGGGTAGATGATTACGGTGTGGGGAAAAAAAACATCATTGGACATTGGCTCTTAACTTTATTTAAGTTCAATACTTATTCACATCTTCAGTCTGGGACTCTGGGCTATGGATCAAGGGATCCAAACTGTTTACTTCGTTGATTCCTTAGTCCAGCCCTGGCCCATCATTGGCTGTCAAAATCCTGGTTTAAGGCCTTAGACACTGTCAGATTTACTATTTATTATGATTGTATGAAGTTTAATCATGTAAATAGGAGTAGGAGTGGGGAACCTCATAGAATTACCCAGATAGGACAAACAGTTATCTTTTCAGGTTGTTTGGTTCCACTCGTTGTAACCTTCGACTCTGTTTTGTGAATATTTTTTTTTATTGCGTTTATTATTTAGGCTGCATTTGGAAACGATTCAAATCAGCTTTCATTAGGGCAAGCTCATGCCCACGCCGTTCCAACCAAGTTTTGCAACTTTGTAGTGTGAATACTTCATGAAATAAGGCATATGAGTACAGAGGTATTGTCAATGAAGGTTGTAAAGACTGCTAGAACAAAGTGATGCTGCACGATCTGGGCACTCCTAGTTGGTTGTGACTTGGCTTCTGGCTGAAATGGACGGCACCTGAGAGGAAGGAGAAGGTGAAGGGTTCCCGGGGAGTTCTCCCGGTGGGAACACTCCGATGGCTAAGTTAGAACTGGAGAAATCTCAAAGAGAGAACAGAGAGTAAGAGTGTTGAAAGTGCTTAAGCTTCAATAACTTTGATTCGTGAGGATTGGGGTTCTTTTATGTCGGAGCTCGGTCACACCTGGCATAACTGCCACTGCCCTAGCCGTTACTGCCAGGGCAGGTGTGGCAGGTGTAGGTTGTGGCTACAGACTGCTATTGCCAGGTACGGACTCGACAGACGCGCCACGCTTTTCAGAGACGGCAAATAGAACGCCGCATGGCAAGCAGAACGCCGCATGGCAAGCAGAACGCCGCCTGGCAAGGGATCAGAGCCCTGCTACCGGATCCGGCAAGTATGGATGTCAGGTAGGTTTCCTTGCAGCCTGCTGAGCTATTGTATGCCGGACCACCTGGGGCAGGTTTGTCTCGGCACCAAGGTGTCTGCATTGGAGGCGATGCTGCTCTGAGGTGCTTCTCCCTCGAGACACTTAGCCAAAAACCGGGGTGCTCCCTTCTAAGGAAGGGAGAGCTCGGAGCCCCTTAGGAGGAGCTCGGGTCTCAAGGGGAGCTCGGGCCCTGGGAGGAGCTTGGGATCTCCGACACTTGGTGGGAGTCAAGGTTGGCCAGGTGTTAGTCCCCAGCAAGTCTCTTAACACGCCGAGTGGCCTGTGTTGGACTCGGCGTGTCCCTCCCGTCGAGTCATAGTTGTGCTGTCAGGCTAAGCTATTCGTTGAGCCAGGTCACGCACACGTGTCCCTGCGCTACGAGGTCGAGCCAAATCACCCTCCATCAATTACCCCCCACTCTCCGTGCTGGGGGTGGTGACCCAGCGCGGGGAGTTCACGATGCACTGGGTGGATTTGGCTCGGTACTTATGCCACACTGTCGGGCAACTCGTTGGTCAGACCAGTCTGGTGTTTGGTTCACTCGGGAGGAGAAACCTGGGTTGCGTACAACTTACGCGCGGACGTCACACGATCTGGACTTCGCGGACGCCAAAAAATGCGCTAAACTGATTTCGCCTTGAGAGTCTTGCAGCCGGTTTTCTTGAGGAACGTTAGATTGCTTCGATCTTGACCGTTGGTGCCCGGGCCCAACGGCTATAAATAATGGGGGACCTTGGTCATTTTCTTTTGCCACTAAGTATCTTTCGTCTAGCTTGAGCTCGCGTTTGGAGTCTTCAGCTCGGTTCTTCTAGTTCGTTCAGGTCTAGTTCGGTTGCGTTTTTTCCCAGTGAGTCCCCGAGCTTCCCTTTCTCCTTTTTCAGTTCATTTCATTCCATGTCTAGCGGGGACAGTCTTTTAGACAAACCCGAGGTGGGTACCTCGGGTCAAGGTGACCCTACTGTTGCTCGGCCTTCTCACGAGGCACGAGTGACCTCGGGTAGGCTGGTGTCCACCTCCCGCCAAGGTCGGGTGCCAGATCAGTTCGGTCCATCTACTATGATGTTAGAGAGGCTTCAACACCTCATCCACCACTTCAACCTGCCTCAGGAGTACATGTATAGTCTTCCTACCGGTAACTTCCCTTGGGAGCACGATCCGAATGAGATCGTGATCTTTAGGGAGCAACTCGTTGGCAGGCTTCGTCTCCCTCTTCACCGCCTTATTCCCGAGGTGTTGAGACGCTTCAACATCACACTGGACCAGCTCCACCCAAACTCTATTCGGAATATGGTCGGGACTATCTCCCTTTGTTCCGCACATAACTTTCCCTTAGACGCAAACATCCTTTGTTCCATTCTGTTAATAAAGAAGAGTGCCTCGGGCGTTCCCCCCGAGCGCGGGCGGACCTACTATCTGTCCCCTCGCCCGGGGTTCAAAATGTTACATAAATTCCCAAGCAAGGTCCCGGCCTGGAAGTGGGACTACTTTGTAGTTCGGAGCAGCACGGGATGGCCCTTCCTTATCAGCTGGAGGGTGGCTACCCAAGCCCCCAGCATTACTCTTGACCAGAAGACGAGGAAAACATTCCACTCATGGGCTCAGGTCGGGTTCGATCACAGGGATTACATTGCTGAGGAGAAGCTCATGCAGGCCGGTTTGAGCCCAGGTATGTCTACTTCTACTTTAGTGTCTTGCTTAATCAGCCAAGTATTTTCAAGCTTACTGACGCCGAGCTCTATTGCAGGTCCCATGGAGAAAGAAAGGATTACCGACCTGAGGCTCCTTCACCAAATGAAGAAGAGGAAAAAACGAGCCGCCAAGAAGGCATGTGTGGAGCCCCCAATACCCCCGCCCCTGAATCTGACCTCCCGCAGGTCCCTTCTTCGGGGCCCGAGCTCCCACAGGCTCCCATCTTGGGACCTGAGCTCCCTAGTGCCCCTCTAGTGATAGATTTGGAGGGGGACT